TTTTTTGGCAGGTGCCTTCGACTGGAACAACATGATGTGACAACACGTGAGGAACCAAAACGAAGCGCACCAGGCGCACCAAGTTCTCTTCTCTTCCCCTTCGGTCGTTGTTCGTCACAGGAGCTCTGGGCGAAGATCTGGAACAAGGGCTTTTTCGAAGGCAGGCCAATCTCATAACAGCCTTTCGGCCCATCCTCGGTCCCACGCATACTGGATGGACCCATCACTCGGACCACTATAGGATCCATCATCAGAGACATGCGAACCGGTGTTTCGTGACCAAATCGGAGAACGCGTAGAGGAAACACTTCTTTTGGCCTATGCGAAGGATTCGGCTGAAGTAGGCGCCAGCAAATGAGCAGGATTGGGGCCCCTGCATTGCAGGGGCTTTCCATGAAAGGAAACTCTAAAAATAGATGACATGGGCATCATATGGGCCCCATGTGATCACCAGCAGCTGCAGGATGGCTCCGAAGGTGCCACCCCTTACTGTGCACCATGGGCCTTGAGAACCTGGATGGTGGCTTCCTGGCGATTCTGCGTCGCTGCAGCAAGAGGTGTGACACCCTCAGCATTCGGCTGGTTCACGTTGGCCCCGACCTTCAAAAGATACTCCAAGAGCTCCTTGCGACCATAGCCTGCAGCATAGTGAAGGCCACTGTTGCCTGAGCTGTCGACCGCATAGGGGTTGGCACGGCTGTCCAACAACAGCTTCACCACAGCAATCCTGTTGGCACCAATGGCATAGCCCAGGGCAGTGATGCCCTTGTGATCCTGCGAATCGAGTGGTTTCTTCTTGTCGAGAAAGCTCTTCACCGCTCCTACATCACCTCGCTTCGCAGCCTCGTGCAAAGTCATTGCTGTATCTTCAATCTTCTGCAGGACAGGTGAAAGCTCTGATGGCAAGCCACCCATCTTCTGGCTGATCTTCAGCATCAGCTCTTCATCCTGGTAGTACTTCATGGCTGCTTCTATGCCATTCTTCTTGATGTCCTCGAAGATTGGTCCTAACTCTGCATCAGACTCCAGTGCCTTCATCTTGTCCTGAACAGGAGCATCACCACTGCTGAGCTTGTTGTTGTAGTGCTCAGCAATGGCTTGAGTTTGCAGCCAGCCTCGCATAGCTTCAGGATTCTTGGCAAAGCCTTGCAGGGCTTTGGCAGTCTCAGGGTTTGCCTCCACGTAGGCCTTCACCTCTGCCCAGGTCTCATCATCGATATCGGGCACCCGAGTGATCTCCATGCTGCTGCCATCACTGATCTTCAAGGTCTCGGTAGTCATCTGCCAAAGAAGCTTTGAGCTGCTTTTACTAGTATGTCTGAGCCCCAAAAAGCTGAAAACAGCAAAGAATTCCTGTGCTTGGATTCTGACGCAGCTTCCAGCAAGCGAACACCCGAGCCCCGCAGAGAAACTCAAGCGGAACAAACAGGCATCTCAAAATCTGAGCCCTGCACAAAGCCAAGCTGCGTCGCCTGTCCACCGGCCAAAACACAGGCAGCCACCTGCCAAAAGGATGAAACATCTCCGCCGCAGGACGATGACTCAGGTGATTTGCCATTGTAAGTCTTTTTCACGCGTGCGCGAATTTGTGCAAATGTATTTTGATCACCCACCCCGCCTCACCACAGCCTCACTTGCATGTGAAGTACGATGCGAAACGCAAGTTCCAAAGCTACATGATAGCTATTTGACTTTCCAGAAGCATCAAATAAGCCTCAAAATCGCTGGGGCATCTATAATGTATAGGGTGCGCTACTCAGAGTCTAGCAATCAAACCACCGTCGGTTTTTGAGCAAGTGATTAAACATCGAAATGGATGGACACATGGCACAATTGAATGTCAAAGCAGCACACCGCACGCCCCAGCGAAATACTTGCAAATATGGTGAGCTGCGGTGTGTGCCAAGCGACGCACGAACATCGTCCGCTTGGTGCTGAGGGCCAGGCACATGAAGTCATCTGGTGGCTCCAAATCCTGGGCCTTGCACTGATGAAGTTCATTTCACGGGTCCCCACAACGGACGGTGCATGGCTCCATGTGGCTCCACTATCCAATGATCGGATTGATTATTTCTTCAAAAGAGGGTTTAAACAAGCTCACGCAAAAGCTTCTGAAGATGGTTGAGGATTCTAGCTCTCGTCTCTCCAAAAGCAAGGAAGACTGATTGGCTTGAGCGCGCCTCAGCAATGGCCGCCACTTCTGCTTGAGCGCTCCTTAGCTCTGACATTCACATCTCGAAACGGTAGTAGCAAGTTGGATGTGGACGCTTTCCATCCTACACTGCAGTTCGTGGTCGTCACATTGTTGTGACATGAGCATTCAACTGAAGCTTGACTCCCCATGGTTGCCGTGTTCAGGCACACCACGCCCATCCAAGCAGCAAACAACATATCGCGCCTCAAGCTGTTCGCCACATACTCCAGGTCCAGGTCTGCAAGCCTTCTAAAGGCCAACCGATGCCATTGGTATGGATTGATGTTCTCTTTGCATTCAAACTTCTTACAGGTTCTAGCCTGGGGCCCCCCAGCTGCGTTACAAGAGATTTGGCTTCTGTTTCTGAGCAAAGCTTTCCATCGATGAAGCGAAACACCTGCAGTAGATAGCATGCAACAATTCGTGCCAAATACACAATACAAAACGATACACACACACACACACACACTCACGCATATATATATATATACTGTATATATATATATATACACAGCATTTATATGTACATACAATTACATACGTATTAGAGAGGGAGAGGCAAAGAGAGAGAGAGAGAGAGAGATGTGTTGTATCTTTTTTTAGAAAATCAAATAGGATAGGATAAGCACTAAGCTCCGAAGAGCCTGGCTGCTCGATGTCGTAAATTGAAACACTTCCATCGAGATGGGACTGAGGGCAGACAGGGTCGTCCCAAAAGCCTGTCTCCTTACTATACATGGCAAATTCAGTTCCACAGCACGGCATGAGTAGCACACCCTCCAGGCGATGCTACCCAGGCCGCCGCGCGAAGCGGTGCCAAAGGCCCGGGTGACAAAAGTCAACACCACTGTGGCGCTGACAGTCCAATGCACTCAGCCGCTCTAAGCGGTGCAACGAGTGCAATGAGCACTAGGCACAGCTGGAAAGCAAAATCAAAAAGAATGAATTCAATCCGTCGGCAGAAAGTAAAACGAGGCAGCCCTATCACGTTGTCACCAATCCGGAGGCTGTCAGCTACAGGAAGGTAACGCAGTGATCCCAGATATGACCTGAAACAGGGGCCGCACGTCCGGACGCGACCTCAGAAAAATGCAGCACCAGAGAGGCCCATATCCTTAACCTCGTGCAGGGTTCTAGGTGCCACAAGATTCCGATTTCTGGGAGACACACTCCGGCCAGAAGTCAGGATGGCTGAGTCTCACAATCCAGCACATGGGGTCAAAAATGCATAAATAACACGCCGCACTGTGGCGTCGACGTGGCACGTGACTACAGGAGTCACGCTGGCCGGAAACATGCTGTACATTGGGATCCGGCGCCTTTGTCACTCGCAAAGCTGTACATCACACAGGTCATCTACGAGTGTTCGCTGGGTCGCCCACGGGAAGGACTGTCGACATGACCCAGCTAGAAAATCAAAATCAAATACATATATCATATAACGCATCATAATTTTATAATGAAGAATTGATAAAGTTGTAACACATCATATGTATGTGCGGAAGAGTTTGTTCTTCTAATTTTCTTGGTATTACTCTGCATGCATGAATGCTAGAAGAAGCAAACAGTGAATCTCTTGAACCGGCTATTTCCTTGCCTGCTCCTGCCCGGCTGCTTCAAAGCGGGCCTTGGGTGCCAGCCACTGAAAAAATACAAACCAAAACTAAAGCATTGAATCTGACTGACGGTGTTGCACCAAAAAGTGCAAGGCAGCATGGAGCATGTACTCCGTGTGCAGTTTGAAATTGTTTTCGTGCGAGGCAAGCCGCTTCAAACCACATGGTTTAAACTTCGGTCTCCTTAAAGAAAGGTCGTTCGTGATGGCCGCTGTCAGCGCGATCAACCACCTCAATGTGCCGTCCCAAAGAGTGCTTCACGGTGGGATGCCCCAGCTCCATGAAAGATCGAGATGGATCCAGGGTCACCCAAACCTGGAGGAACTCAGCTGTCACATGCTGTCACGACTCCATCATTGCTTCGAAGGCTTTCTCGAAATTCGTCCAGTCTCCGATGACCAAAGCCTTGCGGATCTTCGCCTCCTCAGTCTGTGAAGTCTCAGTCTTGCGTTCTCAAGCCTTCTTCACTTTGAACGACTTGGCCTACCCATATAGGACCTAGACAAAAGCCCATCCTTGAGACTCCAAACCGGCGAGAGGCTAACACTCTCGAGCCAAAACCCAAACCCAAGGCTCCGGAATGCCCATTTCACCAAACACCTGGCCGCTGTCAGCATGTGTTTGGCATGTTCCGGCCAGCCACTCAATGGCTGTAGTGTTCTGAATTGTGAGGCAGCAGTGCTTTTTTGGGGGGGGGTCCTACAGGCCTACAGGTAGGCCGGCCAACCCTTGTACAAGTAGGTGGCCCCATCTGCATCCTCTGGAAAAATGTCATACATGCTTTCCATGTGCTGTCATTCTGATTTCCTGGCCTCCAGCCACCAATCCGTGAAATCGAAGCTGGGAGTCGACGGAACTCTTCTGTCCGCTGCCATCAACAATTACCGTTCCCATTGGGCTAGCGCCTCAGTAAATGCTGGCCTTGTGAGTGACAGCACCTCACTATGGCAATTGGACTGCACATGTTGCTAGGCTTTGAGATCGCGTCCGGAATACGTACTAGTTCCGCACTTCGGCCGAGGAACCATCCAGAACGAAGGGTTGATGCGCAAACGTCTTCCCCTGCACCTCGTGACCTGGTCCACTGCTTCTGAGAGACTTCTGCCTTGATACATGAGGAAAGCGACGACGACCTGAGAGCTCAGCAAGGCAACAGCGAAATGACCCCCCGAAAGTGGTAAGGCCCAGCTCGAGATCAAACTCTCAGACTCAAATGAGAACAATCCACATGCCAATGATTGCCAACACGCCAACACGAATCCTGTTGTTGCCATGCATTCTGCCAGTTTGTGGTGTCAGGCAAGTCTTTTGGAGCTAACTATGTTTGTGTTGCCCACTTGTATATAGGCTCGCTGCACCGAAAGCAACCATGAAAAATATCCCAAAGAAAGATTGCAGCGGGGAAATGCAATGGGACAAAGAAATGCAAAACAAACACAAAAAAGAATGCAAGCAACCACGCAATACAAAGGCGACCAACCTGTGAGCCTGCAGCTCTGGCGTTCCAAAAGCAAGTCAACCGTCAACCGTGAGACTGTGGCAAGGAGCCCTGCAAAAATCGAAGCCCTCATACGGCAAATGTTTCTATGGGGTCATCCGAGGTCCACAGGTTCTCTCGGGTTCTCACGGGGTCAAACAGGGTGACCTCGCTGGTGTCCTTCTCACACTTCTGAGAGGCATCGATTTACTGTTCTTCGATGTTGATTTTTTTGGCAGGTGCCTTCGACTGGAACAACATGATGTGACAACACGTGAGGAACCAAAACGAAGCGCACCAGGCGCACCAAGTTCTCTTCTCTTCCCCTTCGGTCGTTGTTCGTCACAGGAGCTCTGGGCGAAGATCTGGAACAAGGGCTTTTTCGAAGGCAGGCCAATCTCATAACAGCCTTTCGGCCCATCCTCGGTCCCACGCATACTGGATGGACCCATCACTCGGACCACTATAGGATCCATCATCAGAGACATGCGAACCGGTGTTTCGTGACCAAATCGGAGAACGCGTAGAGGAAACACTTCTTTTGGCCTATGCGAAGGATTCGGCTGAAGTAGGCGCCAGCAAATGAGCAGGATTGGGGCCCCTGCATTGCAGGGGCTTTCCATGAAAGGAAACTCTAAAAATAGATGACATGGGCATCATATGGGCCCCATGTGATCACCAGCAGCTGCAGGATGGCTCCGAAGGTGCCACCCCTTACTGTGCACCATGGGCCTTGAGAACCTGGATGGTGGCTTCCTGGCGATTCTGCGTCGCTGCAGCAAGAGGTGTGACACCCTCAGCATTCGGCTGGTTCACGTTGGCCCCGACCTTCAAAAGATACTCCAAGAGCTCCTTGCGACCATAGCCTGCAGCATAGTGAAGGCCACTGTTGCCTGAGCTGTCGACCGCATAGGGGTTGGCACGGCTGTCCAACAACAGCTTCACCACAGCAATCCTGTTGGCACCAATGGCATAGCCCAGGGCAGTGATGCCCTTGTGATCCTGCGAATCGAGTGGTTTCTTCTTGTCGAGAAAGCTCTTCACCGCTCCTACATCACCTCGCTTCGCAGCCTCGTGCAAAGTCATTGCTGTATCTTCAATCTTCTGCAGGACAGGTGAAAGCTCTGATGGCAAGCCACCCATCTTCTGGCTGATCTTCAGCATCAGCTCTTCATCCTGGTAGTACTTCATGGCTGCTTCTATGCCATTCTTCTTGATGTCCTCGAAGATTGGTCCTAACTCTGCATCAGACTCCAGTGCCTTCATCTTGTCCTGAACAGGAGCATCACCACTGCTGAGCTTGTTGTTGTAGTGCTCAGCAATGGCTTGAGTTTGCAGCCAGCCTCGCATAGCTTCAGGATTCTTGGCAAAGCCTTGCAGGGCTTTGGCAGTCTCAGGGTTTGCCTCCACGTAGGCCTTCACCTCTGCCCAGGTCTCATCATCGATATCGGGCACCCGAGTGATCTCCATGCTGCTGCCATCACTGATCTTCAAGGTCTCGGTAGTCATCTGCCAAAGAAGCTTTGAGCTGCTTTTACTAGTATGTCTGAGCCCCAAAAAGCTGAAAACAGCAAAGAATTCCTGTGCTTGGATTCTGACGCAGCTTCCAGCAAGCGAACACCCGAGCCCCGCAGAGAAACTCAAGCGGAACAAACAGGCATCTCAAAATCTGAGCCCTGCACAAAGCCAAGCTGCGTCGCCTGTCCACCGGCCAAAACACAGGCAGCCACCTGCCAAAAGGATGAAACATCTCCGCCGCAGGACGATGACTCAGGTGATTTGCCATTGTAAGTCTTTTTCACGCGTGCGCGAATTTGTGCAAATGTATTTTGATCACCCACCCCGCCTCACCACAGCCTCACTTGCATGTGAAGTACGATGCGAAACGCAAGTTCCAAAGCTACATGATAGCTATTTGACTTTCCAGAAGCATCAAATAAGCCTCAAAATCGCTGGGGCATCTATAATGTATAGGGTGCGCTACTCAGAGTCTAGCAATCAAACCACCGTCGGTTTTTGAGCAAGTGATTAAACATCGAAATGGATGGACACATGGCACAATTGAATGTCA